CCTCCAAAAGCTCCCTGCCCCTTCTCCTGCCCCCTGGCCCCCTTACCCTGCCGCTCAGAACATGGTGTTGGGCTCTGTGCGGAGCCGGACACGTGGCTGCGCTCCCCAGCGCAACACACAACCCGGTCCCTGCCCCCGCACAGTGCTGCCGGAGCGAGGGAGCAGGGGAGAAGGAGAAGTGGGGGGAGGAGGAGCTGCCGAGGCCCGATGCAAACAGCCCGGCAGGCCGGCCGGCTCAGAATGCGGGGGGCGGGGGGGGAGGAGGAGCTCTACTGCTGCTCCGGAGTCCAGCCCGGCAAGCTGCGGGGGAAGGGCTCTGGCTGCCAGAGCCCCATGCGAGCGGCTGACTTTCCTGCAGCCCTCCCAGCCGCGCCTCGCTCTGCATGGGGGGGAAATCCCGGACATTTTTAGTGATTTGCAAATTCCCCCCCGGACGCTATTTTTAACACAAAAAGGAGGACATGTCCGGGTAAATCCGGACGAATGGTAACCCTAAGTCAGAGCATATCTATAAGAGCGAAAGAGGGAGGTCTCAGGGACCTGGGGACATTTTCCTGGAGGAGAAATTGCCCCTCCTGGCCAGCTTGTTTCTCGCTCAGAGTCACTGTCAGTAACGCACGTGCACACAACATATTAACTTCATCAGCGCTGTTGGAGCATGCCGGCCCATGCCCTTGGCCAGCACCACTGGAACACACAAGCCACTGGGCCAGGTGGGGGATTCCCATCCATGGCTAAAGAGCCACCTATCTAGGAACTTCTTGGGCCTCCAGCACTGTAGTGTCTAGAGCATTTCACACTGTTCAGAGGTTAGTCCTCGCTGTCCCCTGTGAGGTAAGGAGCTGCCTCCTTGTTCCCATTTTGCAGTGGGAAGGCTGAGGCACAGAGAGAACAAGACCAGCATTTTCATAAATGGCCACAGGTTTTGGGTGCCCAACTTGAGAAACAGACACACCACAATCAGTGGCCACTATTGGTTTAAGGAGTATGTTTGAGCTCTCACTGTGAGCCTGGGAATTGAACCTAGATCTCTCGGGTCCCACTCCAGTGCCTTAACCACAAAACCAACCCTCCTCTGTTTCCAGGTTCTGCTGAGTGCAGCACTGAAAGGGCTAAGCCATGCAGCACAGGTGGCTGGTTTCAGCAAGAAGGAAATAAATAATCGGGTCTCTGGAGATGTTCATCCCTTGCTGAAGCTGCCTTTGGGGCTATTTCCAGCTCTGAGGGAGGGTGTGTTTTCCCTTTGGTAACCTGCAGCTGCCTGTCACCCTGAGTCATTAATTACCCCTGTAGGTCTGTGGGGTAATTGCAGGGCTGGGTCCCTCCCACTCCTGCACTGCAGGATTTGTGGCAGGAGCCCTCCGCCCGGGGCTGACTGACTCCTCCGTGAGATGCTAATCGTGTTGGCGTGAACACGGGGGAGTGGCCATGCCATTAGTGTCATGCTGGAATGTCAGCCAGCATGCTCCCAGAAGCACGTCCCTTGTTTGGTGGGGAGGCAGGGGTGTTTTATGAAAGCTCTGCACCTGGCTGTCATCCCTAATGCATGGCCTGTGACAGGCTGGTTCTGTCATGGCATCCAGGGGCCCAAAATGTAACACCTACAAATGGGTGAAGGAAGAAAAGGGGTCTGGTTTTCTGGAATTGATGATTTATGAACCAGGACTATCGGATGGATTGTGTTGGTACATGCCCAGTCTGGGGCTGCTACAGCCACATTCTCATCTTGACTCTGATCCTGAATTCCCTTGGGGGCTGGTTCCTGCTCTCACAGGTGAACGTCAAACGTTACCAGCCAAGACCTGAGTTCAAGATTCTGTGTTACCCCAGGAACAGCTGATTCTAATATGGCTACCTAAAGCAGGGATGGGGCAGGACAATGCTCCGCTGTTTCCAGGAAAAGCACGGAATCCTGAACACAGGTCCTGGTAGGTAGGTAAATGGGGAATGGACTTTCCAGTCGAGGTTTGTTGTTTCTGTCAGTTTTCTACCTGCAGTTCCCTTTCTTCTGTTTGAAAGTTTATTTTTAAATAATCTGTTTCTTCACCTCTGAGGTGAGTTATTTGTCTGGCATTTAGCTGGTAGTGTTTTAGTCTTCTATCTACCCATCTGCACAATCAGATTCAACAGTGAATGACTTATGTAGCCAAGAGAACAGAGGATCTGTGAGCTTACACTGACTTTTACCAGCCAGTAATCTCGGGCTTTGGGAGCTAGAGAGGCTACAATGGATTGGAAAGGGAGAATTACGCATTATTTTGAGGCACAAAGGATCATATTAAAGCACTGGTCCAGTGCCTCTGCCCGGCCCCCCTATCCATCAGCCCCAGTCCAAGGACATTCCTGTGGCCACACTTTAATATAGAAGGTGCCCAGGAAAGTCAATAAACCTGACAAAATCAAAGACTAACAGAGACATTGCTGGGCTTGGGCGCCTGTCGCTTTCCTCCCATCCGGCAGAAGCTGTGCAGCTATTCCGTCTAAATCTCACTCAGTATTCCATCAGTGAGGGCTCCATTGGCATGCCTTGGTCATTCGATGCAGACTCGCACCATTTACAGGCTCACAGGGTCTCCCATTGACAGACCCATAGGTATAGGAGGGGGATGTTGCACTGGCTTGTCATCTGTGGAGACCTGGATTCAAGTTCAAGTTTACATCACAGGTGAAAGGAGTTTGCTGGAATGTGCTTGGCGCTGTACAGGATTCAGATCTCAAAACAGCCCCTGCCCCAAAGAGCTGACAATCTAAAACAGTGGCTTTCAATCTTTCCAAACTACTATATCTCTTTCAGGAGTCTGATTGCTCTTGTGTACCCCAAATTTCACCTCACTTAAAAATGACTTGCTTACAAAATCAGACATAAAAATGTAAGTGTCACACCGTGCTATTACTGAAAAATTGCTTACTTTCTTATTTATACCATATAATTATAAAATAAATCAATTGGAATATAAATATTGTACTTACATTTCAGTGTATAGTATATAAAGCAGCATAAACAAGTCATTGTATGAAATTTTAGTTTGTACTGACTTCGCTAGTGCTTTTTATGTAGCCTGTTGTAAAACGAGGAAAATATCTAGATGAGTTGATGCTGGAAGACCTCTGCGTACCCCAGGGCTATGCGTACCCCTGGTTGAGACCCACTGATCTAAAAGATGCATATGACTTGCAGGCTTTGCTCCCAAGAACCCCAGGACTGGAACAGCAGGAGAGGCTGCAGACCAGGACTGGGGATTCTCAGCGGAGCTGTCGGGGTCCAGGACTAGAATAGTGGGGGCAGTTGTAAGGCAGGATTGAAGTGCATCTGCAGAGCTGCTTGCAGGTCCAGGACTAAGCTAGCTGGGTGTGCTGCCAGTCAGGATGGAGGGGTACTTATTACACCTGGTTCTGACTATGAGTGGCAATTTGGTCTCTCCAGTGGCGAGTTGAAAGGCTCTGATCCTCTGCTGTTCCCCTGGCTTTCAGGTTCTGAAGTGTGGCACCCGATCTGCAAACAGGCAGCAAGAGCAGAGAAGAAATTGAAGGTAAGCTGGAGCATCAGAGGTTCCTGATGGAGTTTCTGTGACAGGTGGCTGGGCCAGAAGCACGCTTCAGTGTGCCTCCAAGACAAGCAGACATCTCTGAAAGTGCCCCTGAGAGCTCTGGTCCCTGGCTGGAAATGAGTTATGTGGGGAAGGCCCAAACTGAGGGGGACCCGCCATACCAAAAACGCTGCAAGACCCTGGCCCAAGGGTCAGCACATTCAGCTTCCTGCTTTCCAAAGGGTCCTCGGCAACCCAGAACTTTGAGGATCCCCCTCCCGCCTCTGAGGTTTTGCATTGCAGCCATCATCCTTCTCGCCATGGGGAGTCATGGCCAGGACTCCATTTGAAGAGCAGCTGCAGATCTGTAAATGTCTGCAGGGAGTGCTATTGAGCACTGTGAGGAGGCATCATTCCTCCATACGCCACATGCCATTTCCTCCTCCCTGCGGAGAGATGCTTCCAGCCCACAGAGTCAGAGACCGGCCAGACTCTCTGTGCTTTAGTGGGTGTTTGGTTGTTCCGATTGTTAAATTGTAGGTAGACACAAACCCAGGAATGTTCCAGGCCAGGAGAGCAGTCACCATATGGCCCATCAAAGCTGCCTGTCTTTGCACCCTTCATAACATCAGGATAAGCCAGATCAGCCCCTTGCTTCCCTGCTGTCTCAGTGACAGCTTGACAGCCATGCTGCAGGATGCAAGCTGCTGTAAAGCTCCTTTCCACCCTGCTGAAAAGTTTGATGACTCGGCCTGCTCAATCCCCTATCTTGTGTGCCGTTCAGAAGAAGCACTGGGAGGCCTTTGTCCGTGGCGAGGCTGCTGGCCATGCTCACAGTCCTCAGGTGCACATTGAACATGCATTGTCGGTTGTAGTGCAAGATGCCAGAGCAATGCTGGAATAAACCATGCCTGCCAATTCACTGACAGGCCGTTGCAGCGGGTGGTCTGAAGGACTGAAGTCATCGCCAGAAACAAACTTTTTATGGAAGCAAACCCACAGATTGCCTCTTCAACCTTCCAAGCCCTGCAACAAGTTCCCTCTAGTGTTCTCAGTTAGCATTAGGTATGATTAACAGCTGCGTGTCTTTCAAAATCATTCGATTTTAATGTGCAGAGCCTGTCTTGCTGGATCTGAATCTGGCCATTAAAGTGGACTGGACATTTTGGCCTATGCAAACCCAGACAGAATGTCGATATACCAACAACCTTAGTGATTGGAAGGGAGTACAGAGGGCATTGCTGGGCAGTTTCACAGGGTTATAACCTGCTGCTGGGAGCGTGGGTGCTGTCCCTGTCCTGGAGTTAGACGGTGGGGAAAAATTCAGCCTTGATATAAGCAAGTGAAATTCCATTGATTTCAATGGTGTTATGCCTGCGTTGTGTCAAGGCTGGATTTGGTCCCATAATCTCCATGATTTGAATGATGGACAGCTTAAGTTCTGATCCAGTTTGTGGTTTTCTATGCACACAGCACAGAAGAACATCAGAAACCTCCATCTCGCCCCCTGGTTCCAGTATTGGTTCCCCCAACCGAGTCATCTGTGTAAGTACAGCTCTGTCACAGAGTCTCCGATGTGATGGGGAAAGGGTGGCTCCATATGTTCCAGCGGGGACAGGAGAAGGAGATCTCCCTGCACAGATCAGGTTGGGAGCAGCAGGATCTCAATTCCAATCTGCAATGCAAGCAATGGGGATGCAGAAGGGGTCTTTGGGGGTAAGTCTACCCTGAGTGTCTGCCTGCCTTGACCTCAGCAGGCCCTCTATGATGAATGGGAGATCTCGGAAGAGTATTGCCAAGGCAGTTCAACACCATGACCCACCCAGCCCTTTCCCCACTGCTGCCTCTTCTCTTCCTGGGAGAATGTTGTGCCTCTCATGAGGACATCTCCTTACGTTTTTACCTTTCCTGTGGTGACACACCGGTTCTGTTTGCTCTGATGGGAGCGTCACACTGTATATTCCAGCCTTCCCTTCCCTTTCTCCTCATCTTTCTCTCTGTCTCCGTCTCTCTGCCTCTGTCTCTCCGTCTCCTAGGCTAAAGTGGATAATGAGATCCTTAATTACAAAGACCTGGCAGCTCTTCCCAAGATTAAAGCCATCTACGAGGTGCAGCGTCCCGACCTCATTTCCTACGAGCCCTATCACAGATACACGTCAGATGAGACGCTGGAGAGATATAGCTATGGGGAGGTACTGAGTCTTGGCATTTGCAGACAGGGACCTCAGGATCTGATGAGGGTTATTGCGGGGGGGGCGGACACAGATTCTTATTACAGTTCTGTGGGTGCAAATCCTGAATAACTCCATTGGCATTAGTGGGGTTACTTCAGATTTACAGTGGGGGAACCAAGAACAGAATCTGGCCTAGAACATCTCCAAGGAGGATTCTTGTCTGTTGTCTGGAAATCCAGGATGGGCCAGGACAGGAGAACCTTGGCCCCAGCCTCCTCCACTGTGGGCCACAAGAGTGAGCCAGAAAACTGCTACAGCATCAGTTAGTGACAATCTATGACTCTGCCCATGCTGATGGAGGCCATTGGCGATTGGTCACACCACATAATCTGAAGGGAGTGCTTTGGGGAGAAAGGTGGCCCCAAGGAATGGCTCCTCTGGGGAATGTCGCCCAGTGCACTGAGCCCAGGAAATGAATGAGGGGAAGGGGGTGTCTCCGCAGCACCCTCAGCCCAGCACAGACTGTAAGTTCAGATCTGCAGCGGGGTCACTCTACGTGCACCTGAATTGCTCACACACCAAATGGTGCTGTTGAAAATCTGATTCTTAATTGCAGCTATTTACCCTGCAGTCCATTTTCCAAAGAGCACCCTCTTGCTTAGATGGGGTGCAGGACAGGCTCACCAGATGGCCTGCTGCAGGGAAGCCACACCAGTGTCCGCAGAGCAAGGGTCTCGGCAGGACAGCCCTTATCTAACGCTGACGCCACTGGATGGGGACGGGAAGGGAGCAGGGGAGCTGAATGGTGCTGTCCATGTCCACGGGGATATTAGAAAGAGCTGTGTGGAAGGAAACCAACACAGCCCTTGGCATGGGACTTCCCCTGCCCTACTCCTGGGGGCAGGCTGGGACTGCTGGACAATTTCACCCACTTAAATGGGAAGGAGATGAGTGCATGGGTTTGACCTGGAAGGAAGCCAGATCCTGCCTGATCCAGGTCCCACTGAGGACTGCAGAAGCTGAGGGCAGAATTGGGCCCTTTAAAATGGTCACAGAAGAGGCCTTTGTAATAACCAGCAATGACTTCTCTGAAATCTCCAGTGTGAAGCAGGTGCCAGGGTTCATCGTGAGCCAGCCGTCCAGAGCACTCAGCTGTCTGTGCCCTCTGTACCAAGGTGGGAGCAGTGACGCTGTCCTTTGTGTGCAGTGTTCTGGAGCTGTATGGGGCTCTCACCTGCCCAGGAAGCACAGCTCAGTACACAGCCTCACTGTGTTGTGTTGAGTTTCCTGTTGGCCTCAGATCAGGGCCTTGGGGCACTGAGGGCCTGGTTCTTCTCTCCCTTACACCTGTGTAACTTGAGATTTAGTCCATGGAGGTCGCTGACATTCCGCAGTGTAAAACTGGTGTAGGCAAGAGGAGAATGGGGCCCTGGATTCTGGAAAGCACCATATGGGGGGAAGCTAAGAAAACACCCTGCTGGCTTCTGGATTCCTTGCACCTCTGCTTTGTCCCAGGTCTACGGGTGGTTGGCTTGTGAGCTGGCTAAGGCAACTGCCCCCTGAGGCGCTCTGCAGCACTGTGCGCTGGGGGCTCTGCTGCCTTTCATCCATATGAGCTGCGCCTGCAAATGATCTCTGGATAAAGCAGAGAATGCAGGTTACCATGTTAGGGCCTCTCGTGGACAGCGACATGGCCTATGACACAGACAGGGATGGCATGCAACGGCACAGACCTCCAACGCCAGGGGACAGTGCAACTGAGATGGCAACAGAAAGGTAGCATGGGAAGCTACTGTGTGTCAGATGGCTCAGCAACAGGCTGTTACCGAGGGCTCGCACGCTGTGGGGTGGGGTTTGGAGCCTTTTGCTTTGAGTGGGTCTCGCTGTATTCGCAGCTGTCTGGTGTAAACCCCTTGAATTGATGCAATTTCAGTGTGTTGTCCAGACAGCCCAGTGCTGCTCTTGGTGGCATCTTCTGACCCCTGTATGTGCACAGTAGGTCACAAAGCCGTGTTTCATAGTGGGATGGTGTCTCCTGTGAACCCATCTGACCTCGCTTAACTCCCATCTGTTTATATCCTCCCCATTGAGTTAGTTGCTGCTGTTTCACCAACTCCAAGGGAAGCATCATAGCCAGACATTCGCATCTGGAGCTTTCCAGGTTCAGCCCGTCCCTTCTCATCCTCTGAGGGCATTTCCCCTCACCTCCCGGTCTGTGCAGCTGCTGTAATGTCATTATTTGTATGTGAAACTCAGACAGGCAGGAGAGAGGAGAAATCCCCTCTGAACACTAGGGCTCTGGGTTGGCAAGAGCAGGACCCTCTTGGACTTAGCATTGTATCTGGAGTCTTGCTCCAAGCATGCAGAGCCAGACGTTCTGTGAACAGGTCAGACTCCGTAGACACGAGCAGGCAAGGGGTTGATTTACGGGCTCCAAGGGCTGGTTGTTTCAGTTGTTTCCAAACTGGGAAAGCCAAGCTTGGATGGCTTCACTCTCCCATACATTGTGTATCCCAGCATGAGGGAAATCCCAGCATGGCCATGGGAGCGCCTGCCTGCCAGCTCCAGTGAAGGGGAGGGGGGATATTCTGCACCAAATGAAAGAAGCTGAAGAATTCCCCCAAAGTCTCTTCCCCAGGAGGAAAAATGAGTTGCTCCCATGAGTTCCTCTACCAGGCATTTCTCCTGGAGCACTGGCTGGATGGGATCAAGGCAGCCCCTCTGTGCTCCAGCCTGGACTCAGAGTGGCTGAGGTGGAGGGACAGGCTGCTATTTATTTCCCATCGATGGAGCCTTCTCTCCCACAGGCTTCCCTCAGTGCCTGGCCATTTTAATGTGGCTGTGGTTTCACTAAGAGGGCTGTAATTTGGGGCAGATGAAGTGCTGTGAGGCCCGGGTCAGTCACATCATCCATTAATCATGTCCCTCTCTCTTCTCTCCCTCCTGTACTGTCTCTGGACCTCCTGCTCCCTCCAGTCCCTTGGAACGCTGTCTCCGTATTCTCAGGTAAATACACTGTGCTCCAGAGACCTCTGGGACCGCAAGGCTGGAGGTGGGTGGGACCTGCATGGAGTTATAACTTAAGGATTTGGCTGGACCAAGGGGACCCCTCATGCCTGACAATGGGGGTTCTGCATGGAGACAGCTGTTGGGCTGCTGAATCCCTTCTTGGTGTAACTCCATTGAAGTCAGTGGAATTACACCGGGAGTGAATCTGGCTTATGATGCTAATGCAGTAATTCTACTGGAAGTTGCTTTCTTCAAGTTAGGACTGCAGTGCCAGCCCCACAGTCCTGCCATGCTTGCCTGAGATTGCTCTGGAACAGGGAGCAGGGTCCGTGTGCTCAGCCCTGGTGTAAGAGGGGGGAGACCTTTGTTACATAAAGGTGGGCCCATCAGTTGCATCTTGGAGCAATGTTGACAGGTTCTGGAGAGAGATGTCCAGCCTTCCTTGGCCAAACCATTGGGGTGGGGGAGGAGGCATCCCTCTTTTGGGGACATTGGGAGGGGAACAAACGGGGAATTCTCCAGGCACCAAGAAAGTCAAACCACTAAAGAATGGGAATGTGGTGTTTCTCAGCTGCTCTGCTTCCAAAGATCCATTGCAGGGGGACTCATGACTCCAGTCAGCTCTTGCTGTTAAGCCCCACGCATGCTGAGAGGAGCAGAGCTCACGTGGGAGATGCATGACTTGTTGTCTCTAAATGCCAGATGGCTGCTTTGCACTGTACACCCATTCCACAGCCACACAAGGCCTGTGCACCACCCAGCTCACCACACCCACTGTGCCTTTACATCACAAAGGCTTTACCCTGTCCTAGCTGAGAAGAGTCAGTGTCTCTGGCTGTCATGGGGGTAGGGGGGGCGTTTCCCTGAAGGAAAGAGAAGACCCTGCCTTCCTGAAAAGCTGTGACTCTGCCTATACAAACACCTCCTTCCCCCACTCTATGACTCCTTTATGAGGCCTTGTTTCAGCTATCTCCATGCCCCAGAGCCTGAGGCGCATGCACCTTCTCTGACCCATGCCCTTTATTCACATCTCCTTTCACCCATCCAGGATATCTATGAAAGTATTGACATACGGCAGAGACGGGCCTCCAGCCCGGGCTACATCGACTCCCCCACCTACAGCCGCCAGGGCATGTCTCCCACCATCCCACGCTCCCCACATCATTACTACCGCTCAGGTAAGGACATTGGCCCCCCACCACCAGGCCTGGCCCAGGTTAAAACAGCCAGCGGAGAGCAGCAGAGCAGCGTGCTGGGATCACAAGGACACGCACGCCTCTCCCGGAGGCCTTGGCCATCCCTTTGGCAGCAGCGCAAGTCATGTTGGGAAATCCCAACTCCGAACAAGGAGGAGTTAAATTCGACAGTGCCTGCAGGATGCTGGGATGGGGGATTTCCTTTCCTAGGGGTGTGTGCCCTAGAGAGTGGTGGAGTGATCTGCCTTTGGCTGCCTTATGCACAATCCAGTTCAGCTAATTCCGCTCCCTGGGGCCTTCCTCCTGTCTCATACTCAACTCAGTCACAGCATCGCCCCATCACTACAGAAAATCCAAGATGGTGGCTCCATGCTGGCACTGGAACTAGCGGCGTGGCTGATGCTCGACTTGCTTATCCTGGGAAACGAGGGATGCATCAGAATGCATGTACCTGTCAACGCTGGGGGTGAATCCTCACACCCCCCCCGGGCTAGCACATCTTCGGGTGAGGAAGAAGGGCACAGCTGTACCTTGAAATCGGGGGGGGGCGGAGGGATGGGCAGGAAAACCCAGAGAGAAATGAGTCTGGCAGACTTGCCCTCTGCTGGGTTTCCCCCCATGTTGTTCAGTAAGGCTCCAACCCCTGTAGATAAAGCTCTTAGCACAGTCGCCATCAAAGACTTTGCCATAACAGTGAGAATGACAGGGAAATCCTGGACAGGAGTTTGGGGCCCCTGCAATGGGTTCTGGGCTAGGCCCCTGAATGGCATGCACCTGTGGATTTTCCTCTGGTTCCCATCTATCCCTGTCTGTAAACCCTCAGTTCCTCCCTCACGACGTGTGTAGGAAACCACACCCCCATCCATCCATCCCTTCCTTCCTCCCCAGCCATTGACTCAGGTGGCTTGCTGCTCTTCTAACATGGCTGCATTTAACACCAGTTTTCTTCTGCCTCTTGTTCTCTCTCAATCACTGTCACTCCCTCCGATCCGTGCTTTCCAGGCACAGAGAGTGGGCGCAGCTCCCCCTACTATAGCCAGTTAGATGTGAGGTCTTCTACTCCAACCTCATACCAAGCTCCCAAGCATTTCCACATTCCAGGTAGGCTCTGGAAACCTCCGGCCTGTGGGGAGCACTGTGTCTATTGCATGCATGCATGTGCTGTACGTGTGTATTGCATGAGTAGCACCACTGCCTGCCTAGAGTCAGCTAGCAGCAGCAGGACACGTCCCATGGTAAAGGCCATCCATAAACAAGACCTGCAGCTTTAACCCCACCTAAACTTCCCATCGTCCAGAGTCTGCTATACCCTCCCCTGCCATTTCCCACTGCTTCCTGCCCCCCACAAAGTGAAATTCCCTGCAAGGACCCTGCCTTCCCTTCCCTAGAGGATCACAAGGCAAAGCTTTTCTGATTAGAAGCTTTTCTACACCCATTCTTTACAGATGATTTATTTTATACTCCTCCTACTCCCCCTAGGGCCCGGTGCACCCTTCCCCCAGAGTCTTCTGGGCTTGCCAGATGGCTGCTCCCCTCCAGCAGGGACTCCAGGGGGCCACCAGGTAAGGCCCACTGCCCCCTCAATCCATCCACTGATCTTCTGAGGGGTTGGGAGGGAAACAAGCACCTGTCCCACTTCTTCAGGATACACAATAGGGCAGCAAGAAGGTACTCACTCCCTCTCTCAGCTGCAGTCACAGGGACAGACTGGACCATTCGTCAAATCCAAAACTATCCACTCAGTCCATGTAAAGCAAACCCACCCTAATAAGTTCAAGGGACCTTTGACCTGTCCCCCCTTCTAAAGCCATTTAACTGGCTCTCAAGTTCACCTTTGAGATGGGCCTGATTTAAACCCCCAGACTTGGGTGGTGGGGTGCTGACTGCAAACCTAGATTCCTTATGTTGCAGTTAGCCCTTGTCTCTAGAGTGGGCCGAGCTGGTGACCTGGGACCAAAGGTACCCAGATTTTGGGGAAGGTGTTTAAAAAATCCAGGCCACTTTTAGTATGCACATACATAGTACAGAATTAGCATCTCTCAAGGTGGATACCGAGGGCCTGGACTGGAGCTGCAGCCTCACAGCCTTCTCCTCATGCTCGCCCATGTAACCAATCCATGGCCGCAGCCACCACCATGGTGACCAGCTCTACACACACCTGCAGGGTCCCATGCTCCCTGCAATGGCCCTATCTCGACCCTCTCCCTGTCCAGCCACCCCACCACCACAGCTATATGTGCGGACCGGAGCTCCCCTGCCCCTTTGCTGATGTCTTTTATGGATGGCCCCATCCCTGCTCCGCCAGCTCAGCTGATAGGCCCTAGCGCTGGTAGGGTAGCTATAGGCACAGTCTCCAGGTAGCTTCCCCTTCCCAGCTAGCTCTATTTCTCCCTTGCTGAAAGAGGCTTTGGCTGATGTTGGTTTGCTCTCAGGTGGATCATGGATAGTTCTTCTAGACACCTGTGCCCCCAAGAAATGATCTCCCTCCTGAAAATCCATCAGTAACAGCCCACTCCATGGGGCTGACTGACAGAGAGGTACCCCCAGATCCTTGGTCTCTAGGTGTCCCCTCTCTCTTCCCCTCCAAGACACCTTTGTCTGAGAAGAGCCAACAGCGGGGACAGGAAGGAGAAGCATCTGCCATTCTGTCAGTGCCAGTGCATGGTGTTAACACTGAGCATGCTCACTGCATGTCCTCTAGCACACACACTACCTCCCCACCCTAGGGTTTTCTGTAGCACCCATCACTATAGTATCTGGGTGCTTAGCTTCCAAAACAGGTTTAACCCTCTTTCTCCCCCACCTCGTAAGCCAAACCAGACCCTGATCCATCTTTGATGAAATGCCTTGGAACTAGGTTGCATTTTTTTGCTTAAAGTCCATGAAGGTGAAAAACGTTGAACGTAACAGATGAGTGACTGGGGGTTTGCATCTCCTCTTCCATGCCCTCTCCATATCCGCTGCTCCCAGCAAACACACACTGACTTCCATGTCCTTTCTCTTTCTTTTCTTTTCTTTCTTTTCTTCTCTCTCTCTTTTTTCCTCCAGCTGCCGGAGAGAGTAACATCTACCGGAAACCCCCCATCTATAAACGACACGGTACAGTCTGAGTGTTGCTTTGGGGTGATTGCCAATTACTTAATAGTCCTGGCATCGGAAGAGCCAGACAGAGATTAGGGACCAGTTACACTGCTGAGTAACTCCTTGGACTGGGACAGGGTTACTCCAGATTTACACCGGTGTGAGACCGAGATAAAATTAATCTAGGACAGAGGGGAATGCCATTGTTAGGCAGAGAATCAGGTCATGGGGCTGCCCTGGCAGGCGCAGGAGGAGGTGGCGAGAAAGGCTGGAGGTGCTGGCAACCTTGGGCGTGGGACTTAGTGCAGGCACAAAGCTGTGACATTTCACATTGCCTTCAGCAAAGAGCCCAGGTGGTGGGAGTGAGAAGTTGAGTAGCACAGGAGATCTATCTGCTTACCTGTCACTTGGGGGTTCAATCCCCTCCTCAAATATAACACCAGGTTAGATATTTGTCTCCAGTGCTCAGCAGTTGCCAAAGATGGGAAAGCAGGTGCTGTAGGTCAGGACTGAGGGATGGCATGGGGAGACGGGGACTGGAATGGCAAGGGATGAGAGGGTGCTGCAGGTCAAGAGCCTGAAGGGCATTAACAGCAGAGCACAGGGCAGGGCTGGAATAGCAGGGGTGCTGCGGGTCAGGGTGCACTGGCAGAACTGTGAGGAGAGAGGAGTGAGCAGTATGTGCTTTTTTTAACACTAGCCATAATACAAATTACCTGGAAAAAACTAAAAAAAGAATCCCAACTTCCTGAAAACCTCTGACCGTCCCAGGCAGACATTACAGATTGAAAGAGAGTGTCGGTAACCTGTAGAGAGGGCTGGGGCTGTGGGAGTGGGGGATGTCTGGGGAGGTGGCACAAGGGCGCCTGGCACCAGCCAGGCCCTTGCTGAGGAGGGCTTGTTGTGTGCTCACCAACTTGCTTCGTGTAGCAGCTTTCCCTGTGAAACCGTAACTCTGTCTCTCCTTTCTCCCTCCGTGTGTCTCTTCTGTCCTGTCTGCCTAACACCCCTAACGCCCCCTGCTGGCTGTCTGCATCCCTCCGCGCTGTAAGTAGCTGCCTTTGCTGTGTTCTCCTGACTGACCCCTGGCATGTTACTGGGGGGCTCTGAGCACTCTTAGCTGGCCAGGCCTTGAGGTTGAGTTTGGCACCGGCTCTCTCAGCTCACCATAAGCCAAGGTGGCAGCAATCCTGCAGGGGTGCCCTCTGCCCCTCGCATGCTTGCTGAGGAAGAGATTAGCTCTGAAGAGGCAGCCATTTTGTTTTCTTAATGGTGGAGCAGGAGCCTCCAACGTTTGCCGTGTGGCCTGAAGCCAACCTAGAGTCCTTTTGTGCAGGGGGGTGACCCCATCCCCTGCTGCTGCGGGCCGTAGCTCTTCAGCACAGGAACCATGGGCCTGTATTCATGGCTCTAACTAGAGATGACATTGTGCATGGGGCTCCCCTCCCACACACACAACCCACCACGTCCCCTCCTCACAGCCTGGTACTGCCAAAGTCACCTCCCCCCATCCCTTCAAACATGCCCTCTGGGAAGCGCACTCCTTCCCTCTGCACTGTCCCGGGGCTGTGCTCCTTGCCTCTGGATCTCTGCTCAGGCTCCCAGGTCAGCATGGCACTTTTACTGCCCTTTTCTGGTGATGACATTGCATTCCTGAGGCAAGTTACCTAGGAAGGGAGGAGCAGCTGATCTCAGTAGCCCTTGTGTTTTCCTGCTTCCTTGGTTGGTGCAGTGGAAAATTGTAGGTTAAAGAGGAAGAGCAAGAAATTAGGACCAGCCAACATCACAGTGGGCTCTGGATCAGCACCATCCTGGCAGCTACCTTGTAACTCAGCCTGGCAGCCAAAGACTCTGCATCATGATGTCACGGCATTTGCACCTCAGCGCCGTGGACTCGGAGCAAGATGCAAGGCTGGCGTGGAGCGCACGGGACAGAGCCCTTACAATCAGAGTGCTTGGCAACCTATTCCGACCCATTTTGTGCAGAGCAGCTGTTTGCATCTGAGCCTGGGGCTGGGTGCTAGGAGCTACAGTGTTCTGTTCCCAGTTCTACCACTGCTCTGCTGTGTGACCTTAACTTCCCCTCTCTGTGCCCCTGCTTCGCCATCTGTAGAATGGGGGCAATGTTACTGACCTCCCGGCGGTGCCAGGTGTGATCAGTTAACGTTTGTCCAGCACTTTGATCATGGACTATTACCAATCAGGACAGGAGACTTCAAGCCACTGGGGAGAGTGGAGCAGGGGGATGTGCCACGCGCCCAGCTGGATCTCCAGGTCTGGTGGGTGACCCATCAGCCTCAGCCAGCTTGCTACCTCCATTGGCTGCCCTTTGCTTGGGGGACATACCTGGCCCCTCAGGCTTTGGGGAGAAGCACCGCCATAACTGTTTTCTCCAAACTGAAGCCTGTTTGGAGGGTTCCACTGACTGGAGCTGGGAGGCACTTGGTTGTCTGTGTGGGACGGCCATGGTGACGCTGACAGCATCTCCTCCAGAGCTTGGGTTTCCTTCCTAAATCTCGTGCTCTGTTGCTTTTGCAGACAATCCACCTGCAGCTACGAAAAGCAAAACCAGCGAAGACATTGCACAATCCTCCAAATACAGCCCAGCCTATTCCCCGGACCCGTACTACCACTCGGAGTCCGAGTACTGGCCTTTCCAAAGTTCGCCCAAAGGTAACGCAGGGAGCCAGACCTGCCCTGGGTGCGGCCAAGGCCACAGGAAACCCAATAACAACTTCCGCATGTGTCATTTTCTGGGAGGTGTTGGCTTTGAGCCTTTATTCCCCAGGGAAGGCCCAGTGTTGAGGGTATGTAAGTTAAATCGAGGGTAGGCACTGATGGAAGATGATGACACATCTAGAACCCTGGACCTGAAGTCCCCTCAGCCTTTGGGTTATTTGCCATGCACATTCATCCTGGGGCTCATCGCTAGCAATCCCGCCTGGGTGTCTGCCTGCTGTTTGTATTTGTCCATGTTGTGCATTTGACTGGGCCTGTCCCCTGTCTCCTTGCAGCACCGCGAGCCCGCAGATTCTCATCAGGGGGAGAAGAGGATGGGTTTGACCGGGGGATGCACAAGGTGAGTGGCTGTTTCCATCCTTTCCCCACCTACCCACTGGCATCTCCTCTCAACTCCTCCCCTGAGAGAGAAATGCAACAGAGGAGACGAGAAGAGAGCTGGCAGCAAGGTTGGAGGCCACACGCCCTGGCAGGGATCATGGCAGAGAGCCAGGAAAGACTGCCTTGGCCCAGTCTCCTTGTTCAGAGATCACAGCTGGAGTAAATCTGTGGCATCTGCCTTTTCCAGATGCTTCTGCCCCAGGAGTGGGTCTTGGGCCATCCACATGCTGTGGACCCCTCCATTCCAGGCTGCGGCCTTCCCAGGGGAAGCCAATGCACTAGGCCACTCAGGCCCACTTGTTCTTTGGTGCCTTCCTTCCCTTCATGGACTTTCCCCTCCCTTGCGCAGGCACCCGCAGACCTAATGACTTTGGCCAAGAACCCTCTCCTATGAAATGTGACCAGGGGGAGCGTGGAGCTGCCTTATGGGGCAGGTGTTGCTTGGGGAGGGGAAGGAGCCATTGTGCTCACCAAGAGGCACCTTACCTGCTCTGAGTGCATGACCAGGAAAGTCCAGCGTTAGTGGCATTGTGTGCTGACACCATGGCGGGGTGGTGCTGCCGCTGCTGGTTTGCAGAGAACTTCCCACCTGTGTCTGAAGCGTATTCCTTTCCGTTTCCCCTCGTGGTGCCTAGATCCAGAGCGGCATCGGCAGGTTGATCCTGAAGGAAGAGATGAAGGCACGATCCAATTCTTACGCTGACCCCTGGACGCCGCCCCGCAGCTCAGCCGGCAGCAGAGAGGCCCTGCACACAGTCGGCTACGAGAGCTCACTGAACGGCTGTAAGGAATGCCAAGTGCACTGTAGCAGCAGTGGGCGGGCTTCTTGGCTCACACAAGATGAAGAGCTTGTGGTTTCTAATTGGTTGGGAGCTGGCTGACATTTGGGGTTGTGAATGAGATAAACAGTCTTTCACCCCCGATGCCCAGATCTACACAGGCTGGATTAGATCCAGCCATGTGAGCGTAAAAGGATCCACGGGGCTGGCCAGCAATCTCTCCCAGCAGGGGGCTGTTCTGTGGCCGGGAGGGGCGGGGAATGAGTTGGTGGGTCTCAGACTATATGGCCACATCACAAAAATCAGCCATTGACTTTGCCATCTCTACTTCCCGCCTCATACTATGTTCCCACTTCTACTTCCATGACAAGGGCACGACCTGGCATGAGGTGTTGACATGGTGGGGAAGGAAGGACACCTGAACCAGGGCCTTTCAACGGCTGGAAAGGTTGGATGTTTGTAAGGGACATAGTTTGCCCCAAGAAATTAGTCTTGGACAACTCGTTCCTCTGATGGCTGCATCAGGGAACCATCTGTCCTTTACACACGTGCCCCTAGGCGGCACGCAGGGCCCAGTGTTTGGGTCTGTGCTTCAGGTATTTGGTGCTTAGGCTTGGTTTTTTGAATGCCTCAGGGAGCCAGAATAACATCATATCATCTGTTAGGGTGTTTGAGTGCCTAGATGGTGGAGAAACCTTGAGGAGACCAGAGCTCGTGTTAGTTTGGTCCCATAGCTATATCCATGAGGCAAAGAAATGCCCATGACAAACACAAAGACAAATACAGCTCCTGAGATCGTTGGGTTTGTCTGAGTTTCTCTGGGAACCCCTCGTCATTGTGAGTTAGGGTTGCACGTTCGTAGGGCTGCCACACAGTCAGTCCCACCTTCATTTTCTGTGGACTGGGGAATTCAGGCCTACAAAGGAATTACACACCTGCAATTGCACAGGCTGGTCACTAGATGGCACCATAGACAACTTGCCAGCTCATCCTCCAATTGGCCTCTTGGTTGGACTGCGTTCCTATGGCGGACTTTGCTGGCTGCTCTGGTGCTGATGCCCCTGCTTGCTATGGGGTCTCAGTAGTGCCAGTCTCTGAAAACAGGGATATTTCAGGGCTGCCTGGAGTCAAGTCCGCCAGGGGATATGAGGCCCAGGGTAGGGGGAGAAGCCAGCCCATGCGCAAGCCCTGCCGCTCTGGCTGAGGTCCCATAATAGCATCAGCTCTCGGGGGGCGGGAGGGAGCAGCAGAGGCAGAACCTGCTGCCACTGTGAACAAACAGGTTAGCAGCTCTCCATATGGCCAGAGTAACTGTGGCCTTAAAAGGCAGCTCTGAGCTGCCCAAGGCTGCAGTCTCCTCAAAGCTTTAGATGCAGTCTCCCCTCTGCAGATGGGCAGAGCCACCTCCCTCAGCCCCAGTGGCCAAGCCTGCAATATGCTGCAGGAGCTGCTAATAGTGACATGGAGGATGGGCCCACCTGAATCCCTGCTCTCAGGCCTTTGTAGAGAGGGAGCATGTCTAGTGATTAAAGTAGGGGTCTAGGCATCAGAAGCTCTGGGTTCTGGTCCCCACTCTGCCACCAACTTACTGTGTGGCCCTTTCTCGCTCTGTGCCTCAGTTTCCACATCTGTAAAATGCGGGCTAATCCTTCAGGGGGGTTGCATTAATTTAGATGGAATAAAGGGGCACAGAAAGTCAAAGGTGTTAACATGACCCGGTCTCTGTCCAACATTAAACAGTGTTAAACAAGGTTTGGGGTTTGGTATATAGAGACTTCAATCAGCCTGTTTAGTACCATGGCAAACACCGTGTTAAAAATCCTTAGTAACCTGTTATTAAAGATACAGAAATAGATGGAAAACTAGTTAAAGCATTTGAAATGTCAAGTATTAAATTAGGCTTCCATTTTAACAACATCCCTCATTCCCTTTCAGAAAAAACCCTTTGTTAGACAGTCTCTTAGGTGGTATGAGAGATGGTGATAACTCCTTTTTAGGTAAAAGAGAAGTTAGTTGAGATGGGCTGGAGCTGTTGTTAAAGTCCAGTCTCATTTCCTGAGAAGACAGAACAAGACAAACACACAAAGGGAGAGAAAAGAACAGCAAAGATGGAAAATGCAGCTTCTGTCTCTGGTGCTGACTTTCACTTGCAACCTCTCTGCTGGAGACACACAGGCCCATCACATGGTCTTATCAACCAATCCGAGACCTGGCAAACTCGTACCAGCATTGCGCTGGTTAGGGCATTGCTTTTAGCTACCTCTTTCTGGTCACAGGCTTACAGCATTGTTGCAAAATACATGGTCTTGGCCAGCTAAGCCAGACAGAAGCTAAAAAGGAGAGGGTTAGGAAAGAGAAGAAATAAGATGGGCAAGGAAGAGGACATATGCTGGGGGGGGGAGAGAGAGAAAGTCTCATATCCTAGGTGGTATTTGGGATTTAGCTGGAACTGGTGGAAGTTGCGGTGTCATTTGGGTCCCTTTCTCTGTCCCAGTCTGATCAGGGCATCTCTCAGAATTAGGACAAAGAAGGTCCAGAGTCCCAGGATATGGTGGGGTTGGCAGCCATGATGGTGAAGCTCTCTTCAGCAGTTAATTTTTCCCCCAATGTCTCTTTCATTAAGGACCCCAAAAGGGAGTGATGGGTGGAATAGCCCATCCCTTCATTTTGTCCATCAGTTAGGCCTAGTTTCTGACACACCAGTTTTGGTTCACTGATTTCTGGTTCCACACTTTTCTTGTTTATCGAGCATGAGCTTAACCCAGCCCTTGAGTTAGATCAATAGGCCTTTGTGTGTGGACTCATTCAGTCTTTCTGTCTCCCTGGCATACCTGTTCCCATCAAGAGCTGTTGTTACAGGACATTGTGACCTTTATAAACTTCCACTCACTTGTTACAGCTGAGCTCACAGTCAGGGTAAGTCTGCAGGCCCAGTTACCACAACAGGAGGAAGGCTCAGCTCACCAATATTCATAAAGCACTTTGAGATGCTCACTTGGAAGGTGCTGTGAAGGGAAAGGCTAAGTGCTGTGGAGATGAAAGCGGTGGGAGGGTGGGTGGGGTAGTGCTGGGAGAAGCAGAGAATGCTGTGAAATGAGGTTGTCCTTGGCCGTGGAAGCCAGGTGAGGGATGCCAGTCTCTGCAAACCCAGATCCTCTTGCCTGGTAGGGCTTTTTATCACAGTAAATGCCTCTCTGCCTGTGCTGACTTCCTGCTTTGTCTCTCATTGCAGCTCCCCGGACACATTACCTGGCTGACAGTGGTGTGTATATGTTCCCCCTCCCTTCCACTCTGTGCTCCTCCATCCGCAGGCCTTGTGAAAGTGGGGTGGGGAGGGGGGTTTCCACTGCAGGCAGAGAGGCCAGGGTGGCTTTTCCTTTAGGAGGGAGTGTGGTCTGGTCATTAGAGCATGGGAGTGGAAGTCAGGACTCCGGGGTTCCAGTCTCTGTTTTGCAGCTGATTTGCTGTCATCTTGGGTAAATCCCTTCTCTCTCAGGCTTGCTCTACACTACAGTTAGGTCAACATAAAACAGCTGATGTAAGTGCCCTACTACATCAACATCATAACTCCACCTCCATGAGAGGCGTAGGGCTTATGTCGGTGTAGTTAGGGTGACACAGGGTCTGTGTAGACACTGAGTTCCTTACATAGGCTGTTGGCTGTCTTGTCGACTTCATGGCTTTGCTGGACCTGCTGACAGGCCTCCTCTCCAAGCTTCTGTCGGTGGTGCACGTGCTCACCAGGAGCACTTCCATCAACTGTAGAGGGGAAGTGTAGTGGGCTGAGAGCCCGGACTCTCAGCTCCACACAGGTCCCCGCTGGGAGCCCTGCTACCCACCAGGGTCCCAGCTCCCCCCTCCCTGCTGGGAGCATGGCAGCTGACTGGACTCTGGATGTGGATCTCCCCGCCGGAAGCAAGAAGCCCCGAGCAGCTTCCCCACTGCTCCCAGCTGGGAGTGGGAAGGTGAGAAGCCCCGGGCAGCTTCCCCCTGCTCTTGGCTGCGAGTGGGAAGACGAGAAGTCCCCGGCGGGGACCTGCGTGGAGCTGAGACCCTGGCTCACTGCCCGCACACTTCCCCTCTTCGGTCAGTGGAAGTGCTCCTGGTGAGGACGTGCACCACCGACAGAAAGAGACCTCTGTGTTGACCTAAAATAGGTTGACTTAAGATTGTAGACACGCCCTAAGTCTGTTTCCCCCATGGAAATGGTGATATTCCTATGTACCCAGCTCCTAGTGGGGATGGGAGGCCTCTTGCATTAGTGTCTGTCACCTCAGGTGGAGGGGCAGAGTGCATATTGCAAAATCTTCTAGGTCCTGAGAGGCCCCTCCCGGCCTGCTGCTTGGGCCCAAGGTGACTCAGCGCTCCGTGCTCAGAGTCTCTGTCCTGGTCTCTCATTCCCCAGGGAGACAGCCCACTCAGCCACTGGGAGCAGAATCCAAGGGCTCCGAGGGGCATCCAGCCCTCAGCTGGGAGGGAGGTGACTGGGACAGGGGCCTGCAAGGGGAGACTCAGCAATATAAAGTGCAGAGGAACCAACCCCGCAGTGTAAAGGCAAGGTGTCCAATGGGCTCCTGCATTCACCTGCAGGAGGGGCCAGCTGCAGCACTGCATTTCTCCTTTCTCTGATGCACCTGCCAATATTGTGGCTATGAGGGAGCTTTGTCACCCGGGCTAGACCCTGCAGGCGTCCTCCTTCCTCTGGGCTGTGTTTGGGGACCAGACGCCTTGGCTTTGGCTCAGTAGCTGTGGTTTTCCCAGGCACAAAAGACCAGTCCCAGCTCTTGGGATTATGCAGCTTGTTTTTTCTCTTTTCAGATCCCCTCATTTCGAAATCTGCATCCCTCCCTGCCTACAGAAGGAACGGGCTGCACAGGGTGAGTGTCACTGGCTACCCCTGATCTGCCACCAGGTGGCGGTGTTTCGGAATGTTTCTCGTGGGCGAGTGGCTGCACAGGCAGGGTACATACACCTCCTGTGGAATGGAGAGGGGGCAGGTCTAGGGCAGTATCCTCATGGCTATTGAAACCTCTTTGTGCCTGGGTTCAGAATCCTCAGTCTGGGGTTCAGGATCCTCAGAATTAGGGGAGTTCTTTCTGGAGGTACATGCATTCCTGGAACAGAGGCACCCTGGCATAGCACCTGCCTCCAGGCACTGCACCCTCTGCTAAGACACATCCAGAGATTCCCAGGTGTATTTTGTGTGGAATCGAAGTAGAAACTAGAGATCAGAAAAGTTTCACCCAGTCCTGGGAATCTAGGAGCGGCAAGTGCCGTACCCTGAAAGTAAAATCTCTTCCAGATTCCTGGAGTTCAGATGCAGGGAAAAAGAATCTCTGCTTCAGAGTGTGGGGAGGTGTGTGCTTTCCAGAGTGATGTCTTTGTTGTGTAACTTTGGGCAACAAGGACTTTAGAAATGGTCCCATGATTGATGCATAGGCTGGGAGTCAGGAGCCCTGGGTGGTATTCCTGACTCTGCCACTAACTCACTATGTGATCTTGGGCAAGTCATTTCACCTCCCCGTGCCTCAGTTTCCTCATCTGTAAAATGAGGGGAATGATACTTACCTCGGGGTGGATTAATTATAACATTTGTAAAACGTTTTGAGATCCCCAGATGGAAGGTGCGATAGAAGGGCTGAGTATTTATCTGAACTCCCCTCGTGCTGACCCCTCTGTGTGCTCATTTCTCCTGCAGCCTCCCAGTGCTGAACTCTTCCACTACGACAGCACAAACGCCGTCAACTGGGGGATGCGAGGTAAGCAGGGCACAGTGCCTGGGAAGCCTTAGCAGTCCTACAGTATGTGCTGCTAGAGCCTGTGGCAATGTGCTTCAAAGGGACACTGCCATCCTGCTGAGGCCCCAGAGTGGCCCTTCTTATGGGAGTGAGAGCTTTCTAGGTATTCTCTTCCAGATCCTGCACAGCAGAGTCAGCTTTGAGCTCTGATCACGACAGCCTGCAAGGCCTGCACAAGAGACACTGGTTTGTGCTCTTGCCTAGAGCCCCCAGCTGGCCCTGCGGCAGCAGATAAGGGACACCCTCACATTGCTAATGATGTGTTTCAAAGCTGTGTTACTGTTGGCCCCTGACATTGTAAAACTGAAAAAACAATCCGTGTATTTGTCACCGTTCCTGCTATTGCTTTTTACATTTCTGCCAGCTTGGGGAATGAAAATAGGCTAATCAGTTTCTTGCTTTAGAATCATAGAAGATTAGGGTTGGAAGAGACCTCAGGAGGTCATCTAGTCCAATCCCCTGCTCAAATCAGGACCAACCCCGACTAAATCATCCCAGCCAAGGCATTGTCAAGCCGGGCCTTAAAAACCTCTAAGGATGGAGATTCCACCACCTCCCTAGGTAACCCATTCCAGTGCTTCACCACCCTCCTAGTGAAATAGTGTTTCCTAATATCCAACCTAGACCTCCCCCACTGCAATTTGAGACCATCGCTTCTTGTTCTGTCACTATCCAGTTAGTTTTTCTTTCCAGTTCTCGTCCCCTAGCAAATTCCTGCAGTGTTGGGGTTGCACACCCGGCAGGGGAAGGGTTAAAGCTAAGCCAAAGCACTGTTTCCTTTGAAATGCAAAAATATTGTAATGAAACTATTCCTATGAATATTGGGCCCAATTCATCTCTGCATCAAGGGGCTGCAATGGTGGTGGATCCATCGTCCAGGGAATTCTCATGACAGAGAGTTTCCCTCTGGCTGGTAGGGAGCCAGCATAGCCGACTCTGGGCTTCCCCCAGCACATAGAGCATATGAGGGGCATTTCATATCCCCTTCATTGAACAGTACTGTGCCCTGGCTATTCCTGCCTGCCTAGGGGCCATTAGCAGCAGGGTCAGGTTAGTTGGTGTAGACCCACCATTGCCCCCCCTACCCAGTGCTGAGTTCAGCCCCAGCGCAGGGATGACTCGGGCTCATGTTATGAAAAGCCTTTTAAAAACCTCTGAAAAGCAACAAGTATCTTTTGGCCTAAAGCACCTGGCAGCGTCTCTCATAGGCCCCACCATGCTGCAGGCAGCTGTGCACCCTCCACTCCCGTGAAGTCAATGCTGGGGAAGGGCCCTGAGCACCCTGCAGGATCAGACCCTGATTTCACCAGTGCTCTCAATGGAGCTGTGCTGAGCTGTCCTCAGTGTTGCTGGTGCCTCCCTTCCTCCTGAGCTGCGCTTGAAACAATGAGTGAGATTCCAGGAGCTGTGGGCGTGAGAGCGAGCAGCCTGCACACTGTAACCCCACCCTCAGGCCAGCCCCCTGGGAGCAGCTGCCAGAGGCAGGACAGACAAGGGGAGAACACACGTGGGGCCGTGTCTCCTGTGGGGAGTCGGGGCTCTCGCCTGATGGCAAAGGGAAGGCTCCGAGGCTGCTGACTGACTCGTTTCTTGTCTTTTTCCTTCTCTTTCTCTCCTTACAGAATACAAGGTAAGACTCTCCTTGGAGTGGGGAACAGCTGCCATCCAGTCAGTGATACCATCTAATGTCCAAATGCCACCAGGGCAGGGTCCTTGGAGATTGTCCCTCCATCTCCTGTGTCCTGGGCTGGTCTCCAGAGCCCATGTTTGAACTGAGGCCTTTTCAGACACCTTCACTTCCCTCAGACATGCCCTGGCTTCACTTTCCCTCAATCCAGCCCCCTGTCCCTCCTGCTATCAGCTCCAACAGAATGGGCTGCAGTTGAGCATGGTTTACGTTGCTGGTGTCTCAAAACGCTTTGCCCAGCAGCAAGGTGCATGCTGGGGGAAGAACTGATGAGGTGGGTGACCACAGCTGTCATGCTGGGCTCAGCAGCAGCAGCTCCCACCCAGCTGTGGATGCTGAACCTATTAGATGTGGAGAGGGGATGCTGGGTAGGATGCTAGGTCATCGCCTACACCAGTGTTTCTGAAATGGTGGGTCCTGACCCACCAGTGGGTCCCAAGAAGGTTTTAGCTGGGTCGCTACATCCAGAACCAGGTTAACCCATCACTGGGCTCTGGCCTAAGCAAACATACATTTCTCCTGGCCTGGTGCAGAGGAGAGACCCTGGAGGGGTTGGGGAGATGGATTCTGAGCCTGTTCTGTACTCGCCCCACAGTGTTGGCTCCAGTCCTGCAGGGCTGGGCCTGGTTCCCTGCTCCAGGTTTTGCAACCTGGCGCACGGGGTTGCAGCACCACCAGCTGGACCAAACCCGAGTGGTGCTACAACCCTGTGTGCCAGGTCGCAACACCCAGAGCAGGGAGCTGGTCCCAGCATCATGGGACAGGAGCCACTGCTGCAGGGGGAATGCGGGGCAGGCTCGTTCCCTGCCCACAAGGCCTTTCCTCTACACTGGGCCGGGGTTAGGGTTGAGGTGCCAGGGCAGAGGGTGCATGTACGTAATGGTGGGTTGCAAAAAAAGACAAAATGCAGTTGGTGGGATGCCTGAGTAAAAAGTTTGGGAACCACTGGCCTCTGTGACAAGCCAAGCAGTCTTCGCCTTCTGCCTGGAGATGGGCAGACGGGGAGCTGGGTTAGTGTCGCCCCTCAGGGCAGCCTCTCCATCAGAGCAGCACCCCTGCCTTGCAGTGTCAGCGTGAGCTCCATTCTACTGTGGGAGTTGGGCCTGCACCTTTGTGGCGCCCAGGAAGCACCATCCCTGAGCCAAACAGAACAGGCCCAAGGACTAGCCACTGTGTTGTTGCTGTGGGTTCCCTCTAGCTGTGCCCGTCTGGACTGCTCCCTGGCTCACAGCTCAGAGAGCCTACCAACCCCAAAGCGTTTCTTCGTCTCTCTCTGCAGATATACCCCTACGAGCTGCTCATGGTGACCACCAGGGGGAGGAACCAGCTGCCCAAAGATGTGGACAGGACTCGGTTAGAGGTAAGCAAAGCCTTCCCCACTGGGGAGAATACCACTGGGACACTCCCTTCTGACACTGTCTCCCTCCTCCCCCAGTGCAGCTAGGGCTGGGGGAGGAAGTATGAATGGAGCAAGGGTAGCTGCCCTCCTGCCTGTTAGATGTCATCTCCCACATGGAGACCTGAGGTGTTTCAGACCTAACCTCCCTGCAGACGGAGCAGGAGTAAATGCTGTCTGCATGGACATCACCCTGTGGAGCACAGCATCATACCAAAGCTATCACTCCTCCCCACCCCGTTGAGATCTGGGACAATTCAGAGGGGATCCCCCCTGCCGGATGCTTCCCAAGCCACCCTCCTTTGAAAAGCTCAGGCTAGAAAGGTTTCAGAGTAGCAGCCGTGTTAGTCTGTATCCGCAAAAATAACAGGAGTACTTGTGGCACCTTAGAGACTAACAAATTTATTAGAGCATAAGCTTTCGTGGGCTACAACCCATCTTTGTTTTGCTGTACTTTGAACCTAAGACAGAGGGGGGTCCTCTGAGCTCTTTAAGTTTGATTACGGCTGTATCCCCACTTTGAACCTTAGGGTACAAATGTAGGGGCCTGCATGAAAACTTCTAAGCTTATCTACCAGCTTAGCTTTGGTCCGCTGCCACCATCACAAGAATTCCCTCCCTGGGAAGCCTTGAGAAACCTTTCACCAATTCCCTGGTGAACACAGATCCAAACCCCCTTGGATCTTAAAACAAGGAGAAATTAACCATCCCCCCTCCTTCCTCCCACCCTCCTTTCACCAACTCCTGGTGAATACAGATCCAAACCCCCTTGGATCTTAAAACAAGGAGAAATCAATCTGGTTCTTAAAAAAGAAGGCTTTTAATTAAAGAAAAAGGTAAAAATCATCTCTGTAAAATCAGTATGGAAAATAGCTTTACAGGGTAATCAAACTTAAAGAGCTCAGAGGACCCCCCTCTGTCTTAGGTTCAAAGTACAGCAAAACAAAGCATCCGAAGAAGTGGGTTGTAGCCCACGAAAGCTTATGCTCTAATAAATTTGTTAGTCTCTAAGGTGCCACAAGTACTCCTGTTATTTTTTCAGGCTAGAAAGTCACTGACCCATTGTGGGGGCTGGCTGCCTGAAGCCAACAAAAGCCCACAGTGCTGGGTGAGAGTGAGAGGTCACCAGCGCAGTGTTCGGGGTTTGGCACTGGCCCCAACCGCAGGCCGAGGAAGGGGGTCACTTATGCACACGCTGGCACGCGGTCATGCTCACACGCAGCCACAGTCACAGACACTCACACACAATCCCACTCAGACACATCATGCTCACACACAGCCGCAATCGCACACGCTCAGCTCTGCACAGCCACAATCGCACACTCACAGGCATTCGTGTGTGCTCATGCAGAGTCACGATTGCACCTGGTCACACTTACAATTGCACATACACAGATACACACAGAGCTGCACACAATAACACTTGGATAGTCACAATGACAGGCGTGCGTGCACACACACACACACAGAGGCAGTCGCTTGCATATGCTCACGCAGAGTCACAATGGCATCTGCACAGGCACTCTCAGCTATGAGCCATGGCAGCCGCCCTCCCACGTGCTGTCACAGGTCCGTACAACCCGCCTCATGCCCCTCTCTGCTGTCCCCCCAGCGCCACCTGTCACAGGACGAGTTCTATCAGATCTTCAGCATGACCATTGCAGAGTTCGACCGCCTGGCCCTGTGGAAGAGGAACGAGCTGAAGAAGCAGGCACGGCTGTTTTAAACGCAATACACTATAAATATATACATACCTATAAATATATATATATATATATAGAAAGATCTCTATATTGAAGCTCTGTATAACTCTCTCTATTGTACAATAGGAGGCACGGCCACTCTCTTTGGAACTCCGTAGAGTGAATTGAAGTCTCTCCGATATTTTTATGCTCTTTGTTTCCTTTATGTTCTTTTTTTATTCTAATGCGATTGGGGGTGGGGTGTGAGACTGTTTATGTATTGAACCTTCTGGAGTTTCAGGCCATCTCAGACCCCCACCCTCACCTGCAGTGGAGGTAAATCCCAGGCCAGTGGAGGAGGGGGTATCTGCAGCACATGTTTAGTGAAAGATTGGCCCCTTTTCCGTCCCCTGCCCCTTCACACTCTGGGCTCCTGGCCCGGTATCACCCACTCACGCTGCACAGCCCAGCCAGGCGCCTTCAGGAGCCAGAGGAAGAGGTTCCCTCTCTCCCACCAGGGTTCCTGAAACTCCCAGCAGGCAGGGCCCTGCCATCTGATTTAGCCATTGATAGTTGGAGGGTTCCTGGTATACTTAAACTGCCTCTCTTCTCAGTGCTTGGGGGAGGGGGCAGCAGTCTCCCTCCCCCTTTGTCAGCCTTACCCGCTGGGCTTGTACTGAAAGAGGAAAGTGAATGGAGCTGGCCTGGACCATCTTACCCCTTGCTAACATAGACTCCCTCCCTACAGGCCTAGTCTGTGTTGGCATCTGGTAGAAATAACGTGGCCCAATTTGGCAGCGCCACAATTGTGTTCTCTCCCTCCCCTGCTTTCCCATCCCATCCCATCCTCAGCTGCCAGGGGAGCTCAGAGGCTGCCGAGCCCCGTAGGGCATTGCCAATACAAATCATAGGGGATCATCACAAGATATGTCGGATCTGTGTCATCTGCAACACTTCCAGGGCCCAGAGCTGAGACACTGGAACATGCGCCATCTCTCGCTCCAGAGGGCTCACTGATGAGCCTATCATCCCCCTGTCCTATCTAAAGGGCCACCGACCTGACATGGCAAACTGCAAAGCCTTCTCCAGGGGGACAGTCCTGCTGAGAGACTCTGTCTTCCCAGCATCTCCTTTCACTTGTAATTAAATAAAGAACTGGGGACATTTGCAAACAGGATCTCAGCCCATCAGGGTCTGACATTCCTCTGTTGCTTATTCCTTTCCCCTCCGCAAAAGTACTTATCTGCTTGTGACATCACATCTCTCTCCACAGAGCCATCTGTGATGTCACAAGCAGATGATTATGACTTCAGAAGGAAGAATAATAAATAAGCAGCAACAGAGGCTTCCAAGAGACGTGTTCCCGCATTGCCTGAAAACAGTCCCTGGGAATTAAAGCACAGGGGAAAGGAAATATAGGCAGTAGAAGCAGAACTGTCTCTGGGTGGAGTATTTGTCACTAGTTTCCCTGGCACTGGGGGTGGTGCTTTAATAAGAGGCCATGGCAGAGTGATTTGACATTGATCACGGGAGTCATTCTGTCAGGATTGTGCTATGAAACAGGTTTCCCAACCTTCATATTTCCAAATCACAGGCTCCTCCACCCATACCTTCAAATTTCACCTCCTGCAAGTAACAGAACAGTGGTTTGTCCCCCGCTTCCCACATCCAAAGCCACTGTTCATAATTTTACACCAGAGTAACAGATCCAAGCCCTTTACAAAGTGTACTGCATAAAGCCCAAGATCTGGGGTGGATATGTCCCTAACAGCACCTCTGCAGAGGGGTTTTGTGGCTGTAAGGAGTCAAAGTGGGCCTGAACCAAAATCCCAGATCCAACCAGGCCTGGACTTTGGGGGAGTTGGGATGCTGCTCTAACTTTGAACTCTGTAACTTAGGCCCTATCTCTCTGGTTAGGAATTGTCCTGAAGTAGCAGCAGCTGGTTTAGAGTCTGTTTGGAGTCTACTCATGAGATTGTAAGCCGGTATGGAAGTAGCTGGTTGTGAGAGGGGGAAGGAGGCATGCTAGACTGTTGTTAGAAACTGAATCAGCTGCATCTCCCCTTTTTATTTTGTCTGCTGGAGTTTTCCTGATTCTCAGCCATTAGTAGCGTCCACTGTCCCAGATCAAATTGCTAGAGCAGCCTCTTGGAGGGAGGTAATAAAGACATTTGCAAGGACTCTCTATAACTCTGGGGGAAATTGTAGAGCTATGTTGCTTGTTTGATGTTTTTACTAATATGCTATTTCAACAGAAATCCATTCGCCTGTTGTCTTGTATGTTTCTCTGATTTCCTGTTTGCTCTCTTGAGTGAATGTTCAGGCAGGTCCCAGGAGTGCCCACCCTGTGCTCTCCAGTCCATGCCCAGCAAAGCAAGCTCCCACTCCAGTGTCGTATCAGTTCTTATGTTCTCTGTTATGGGAGTGAGGATAATTTTCTGCTCTTGCAAAGTGAAAGGACTCCATAACCTAATGGGCCTGTTCCAGCTCTGTCTCCAATGATCATCTTTAAAACCTCTATTGGGAATTTTCCATGCTGGTTTCTATCATCTGCTGGGTTTCATCCCCTTCATCAGGTGAGCACCACCACCAAGGCCATCCTCGGGTGAGTGCTGAATTCTCCCCAGGGAGAACCAGCCTCTTGCTGCTGATTGTGCTGCATTTGCCTCATGTTACCTTCTAGGCCAGGGGTCAGCAACGTTCGGCACGCGGCTCGCAAGGGTAAGCACCCTAGCGGGCCGGGCCAGTTTATTTACCTGCTGACGCGGCAGGTTCGGCCGATCGCGGCCCCCACTCGCCGCGGTTCACTGTCCTGGGCCAATGGGGGCGGCGGGAAGCGGCGCGGGCCGAGGGATGTGCTGGCCGCGGCTTCCCGCCGCCCCCATTGGCCCAGGACGGCGAACCGCGGTGAGTGGGGGCCGCGATCGGCCGAACCTGCTGCGTCAGCAGGTAAATAAACTGGCCCGGCCCGCTAGGGTGCTTACCCTGGCGAGCCGCGTGCCGAACGTTGCTGACCCCTGTTCTAGGCTGAGGCCACCAAACTCAATACACAAAGCACTGGCATCAGGTTCCCAATGTGTAACAGGGGAACTACCCACTCTGACCCATTCCCCTTCTGCCCTGCTGTGATGGTACATGGCACCATTGCATATCCCCCTGGCTGGCACCATGAGACTGGAGCAGCAGGAAGAAAATATGTCTTCAGCAAGCAGCAATGGGTCTTTAAGCTTTTACCTCAGCATGGAATGGGCTGTGGAATGAAGTGAAGAGTGTAATATTGTGCTGGTAATTGCTTCTGTCTACTTTAGCACAGCAGTAAGCGCAGCCAATTGTATTTATAATGATTTCACCCACATAAAACTGCATCTCCCTAAATCAAGCTCAGCTATTTGGGGCTATGAGAAACTCAGTCTCCAGCAGCAGCTCCCGTGATAATCCCTAGAGGATTCAGAGCTTCAAATAATAATAATGATGCTTAGCACTCACAGAGTACTTTTCATTTTCAAAACACTTTATGAGTACTAACTAAATATTCTTCACATCCCCCTGGTGGGAGAGGTGTGTTTATCTCTGTGGTGCAGGTGGAGAACCTGAGGCACGGAGTGGCTAAGTGACTTATTGAAGGTCATGCAGTGTGGACTGTCAGGCAGAGCCAGTTTTAGAAATCCCTGGCTCCCAGCCCTCTGATCAGTCCACTCGTACACGCTGGCAGAATATAATTGCTCCTGGCAGGTAGTGTTCGTATTTATTTTGGGGGCACAATAATAAACTCTTTCATATGGGGAGGCAGGGTGCTCCTCCAAGTTTGTGATCTTCCAGGGGAAACCTGCCAGGAAACATCCTCCCCAGGAACCTGTCAAAATGGAAGAAGTTTGCAGCTAATTGTTTCGTTTCGTTTCAGACTCAGTTGAAGTGCAGGATCTCTTAGGAAAGATGCAGGGCTGCCATCTGTTAGGTGCTGGGATTGGGTGTTACCATTTATTAATATTGTACCTATGTGGTGTGCCCTGGGGCAGCTGCCCTGTGGAGCGCCCCTGTGTGACCCTACAGGAGGATGGGCAAAAGGGAAGAGCTGAAGCCCAGCACCCTGCCACCCTCTTCTTGTAGTTTGTCCCACTGTATTGTCATTGTACTGCATGCAGCATGAGCCCTCTGGCCGTGGTATTCCTGCTCCTCACTCCGTGGCAGGGGAGAAAAAGGGCCCTATTCTCCCACACAGGCCTTCGTCTTTAGGGTAAATTGGGAACGGAAGCCTCAGCAGGGGAGACACAGATTTTAGCCAGCATGCCAAAGGGCCCAAGATGATGGAGGCAAAGCACCTTCCTTCACTTACCTAACCCCATCCACTTAGGCTCACCCAGCAACAAGCTATGTGTGAATACTGGTGGGCCAAACCAGCTCCCACTGAAATCAATGGCAAAACTCCTGTTGGGCCCATGAGAGGTTGACCGGAAAGGTCATGCGGTAGAAAAAACTAATGAAAGTACAAAGGACAAATGGAGGCAGCTGCTCTCAAAAAGCAAGGAAGGTGCAAAAAGTCTGGCAGGGCTGCTCATGGCTTCGAGAAGATTTACCAAACACACTGGGAGCAATTTCCTTGGCTGGCGGAATATGCTATTAGCAGACATGCTGTTCCTGGATACACCTTAAGGGGGCAGCAGACAGGGCTGTCTCCTTGTCCCCTTTGTGTTCACCATGTCTGTAGTAGTACAGGCTATATTCCCATCCCACCAGATCTTTTCTCCAGTGAGGCAGCCTACTGAATTCTAAGGAGCCAATCCCTGCAGCAAGTAGTGTTTGCCTTATGCGCTGCTCCCCCAGGAGTTCAGCCACCACAAGGAGAAGGGTGAGGTGGGGGCATTAAAATCTTTCCATGAAGACCATTGTTCTGGCTGGTTCTAATCTGCTAATTTTAGTGCTTTGCAGGCCACAACCACAAGCCTGTCTGGGCCCAGCTGGCCATTTCTATAGTTGCTTTGAAGGCTGTGGCCTGAGTGTGCCTTCCACCACTAACCAGAATTTGAATTGGAGGAAAAGATCTATTTGCAGTTTAGCTGCAGCAAACCCAGTGTGCTCTGAGAAAATAAAGCAATCTGGGTTCCCAGATGGGGTTAGGGAGGGAGCACAGGGGAGGGAGTGTGTCTGGGAAGGCAGCTGGCTCCTGGGGGCTAGTTGGCTCTTGGGGGTGCTAATGGGCTATAGCGCTATTTGCCTCTGCATCACTCATTCAGCTCTGGTCCTGGAGTAGTAGTGCCTAAAAGTCACAAAAAGGTCCTGTGACATGAGTCTGGGAGTTCTCTGCAGA